AGATGAGAGGAGGGAGAAGAGCGAAGCGGAGAAGAGGCAGAGTAGGGGATAGGTGTATGTGATATCTGAGGGGAGGGAGCTGTGAGTCTCCAGGTGGGAGGTGCAGGCAGGAGATTACAGAAGGGCCACTGGTTAGCTATAAAGCTCCATGGTTCTTCTGCTCCTTGTAGCTCTTCTCCAGCTCCCAAGGCTCCTCTGTGGGACTGCAGCAGGTGACTAAACACATTTTGGCATCAGTAAGCTGAAGGTAGGGAAAAAGCCAGTGATGGTAGTGCTGGCTTCCAGGGTCTCTGAAGCAGGGAGAGTGGAGACTTGGAGTAAAGCCAGCGGAAAGGAGACGGTGGGAAAAGGCAGGTCAGTCCTGGGCTCATCATCTTAAAGTTGCTTTGCCAGGCTGGAGGCAAAGTCCCTGGGGGAAGATTGTGCATAGCTTCCTAAGACACAGGGACTGAGGAGCACTGGGGGTCTTCCCCTCTGCTGTGGAGTCTGGATGCGCTCAACCTCCTCAGCCACTCTCTGCAAAATCCTAAAGGGGGCTGCAAACCCCCTTTTGAATGAACCTGCATGCCAGCAGGGCTGCAGCCCAAACCACAGTCATGCTAATGAAGCAAAGCTAATGCCCACCCACTGCCTTGAGGAGGCTGTGTACATGCCGGAGAGACCCAGCAAGGTGTAATGAGACTCCTTGCTTGGCATAGCCTGGGATGAGGAGGCAGTGGCAGCTGCTGCCCAACTTAGCTCTGCAGCCCAGCTTGGAGGGAACAGATTCCTTCTGACTAATCTTGAGACAAGTGTAATTAGCAGGTCTGTGGTGGGGGCTGTGGGTGGGAGTCATGGTTGTCCCCTGTCGCTGGCTGTGGGGGCTGTGCTGTGAGTTGGTGGGGAAGGGGTGGGGGGAGCTGGCTCTCAATACAAGCTGTTTTGCCCCCACAATCAAGGGCCGAGCAAAAAGCCTGGCAGTGAATTTCCCCATACCCAAGTCAGCCTCCTCCAGGAGGGTTCAAAGAACTGGGCCGTGGGAGGGGTTTGGGCAGAGCAGGGCTGGTAGCCTGGAGATAGGCAGATGATGTCCAGCTGATGGCATGGCTGTGAACAAGCATGGGTCTAGCGCGCATGTCTCTGAACGCTCTGTCACGGGGTTGGTCAGAAGCCTCTTTCAGTTTATTCTGTTTTGCAGGTGCCTGGTTCTTTTCTAGACCGTGTCAGTTTAATACCCCACTGCCTTCCTGGTGCTGCTGTTCCACATGAACACGGGGGCGGGGGGGGGAAGGCTGCTCCCATTCTGGGTTTGATTCAAAAGTCAGTAACACCCCCATTATTTTCAGCATCTGGGGATGTTTGTGTCAGCATGTATGTAGGTGCTTCTGGGATCTAAGAGGAAGACCAAGGTCATTGGGTTTCTGGAAAACCCAAGGGATTTTTGGTGTGGGGTGATAAGGCAGTAAGTGGCAGCAACACAATCATTTGTAATCGTCTGCCCACGCTGCTATTTAACCAGACTGAGATAACTAATTCATGCTTATGTTTGCAAGCAATCATTTTGAAAATATTCTTACTTATGTCAGATTTCAGTCTTGCTGGATCCAAAAAGGTCTTTTGTTGAATCAGGGCAATTGTGTGCATGTAACAGAACCTTTTCAGAAGTAACTCAGGACCCAAAGTTTCATCTTCGCAAGGTCCCTCAGTAAAGGCCATTTTTTAAAAAATGTTCTGGTCAGAATTTATTTTATGCCTAAAATCCAACTAGAACACTGTGATCAACTTCAGGGGGGAAAAAAGCAATGGGAAATTTTGGCCAGAATGAAAAACAAAAAAGTATTGGATAAATAGAAACACTAATTTCAAATGGGAAATCCAAAACATTTCAGCGTGAAATAATCAGACCTCTCGGTTTTATACTTGGGGAGATGTTTTCCTCTGAAAATGAAAACATGGTGAAACGTGCCTGCATTTGTAAGACTTCGGGAGGTCACAGCGTCAGTCCTACACAGCCCAGGGGGGAAATGCTGAGTAAAGCTGCTGCCCAGTTCTCTGCGGGGGCCTGAATCCAGCTCAGAAGAGGTTTAATCTCCCCAGTAAATTCAGGGTTAGGGCCTTCTCCCCAAGCTGCCAAACACCTCTCCTTGCACATACCTCTTCCCTCATCTTCCTTTCCACCATCAGCGACTGGGTAGCCCAAAATACATGCTGGCTTTGTGTATTTTGGAATATCCGTGCTGGTTTGAGAGGTTGGGGGCTCTGCACTCAAACCGTTGTCCCAGTTTTGCCCTCATGCAGACTTGTTTGAATCCAGACTCATCCCGGTGAAATGGGATCTGGGAGGTACAGCTGGGTGAGTAAGAGTTAGGAACCAAAGCCACATTCATAGCAGATTTTAATTTTCAATTGCCTTTACCTCCATGATATGAAACGGGGCCTCTACAGATCCCACATGACAGGGCAAGGGAGGACAGGAGGAGCAGAGCAGTGCAGAATTCGGCCCCCAATTGCATATTGGTATCCATGACAACCTCTCACTTCTACTTGGTCACAGTCCTTGCTGAAGCTCTCCTCCTGCACCAGAGCACCCCTTGCTGGGACTGCACCCCCTTGCTGGGGGACTAAAGGAGCCAAGGGACTGCAGAGTGTCTCTAGTGAATGCAGGCGTGATGAGTTGGGGATGGCACAGAAGTGTGACGCTCACAAGGACAAGAAACTTTCCATGTAGTGCCAAGGTTGTGACTGTCACTGCCCTCAGCGCTCTGGCATCAGTGGTGATGGACAGACCCTCCAGAGGGTGAGTCACTCCATCCTGGCACCTGCCTTGGGCTCCGGAGGCATGCCCAGTGCC